GACTTTAATGTTTTTGTTGTTTAAACCTTTCTAAGTTTAAATGTTGAAGGGCTGGGGGGAGGGGGTTTGCTTCTAACTACAGATTAAAAGGTGTAGATGGAAGCCTACAAGTTTGCGATGCAGTTTGCGAATGTTCATTGTAACAATAGATTGCCAATAGAAATGCCAAATCAACGTACTATGTTTGTAAAAGTGGAACTTGCAACCTTAGTTGGCTAACGATGGCTTTTGGAAACCCCTGGCAAAGATAAAATTAAATAGTAAACAAAACTGTTATGTTTAGAAATGTATTGAAAAAAAAATCTTTCTGTAAAACAGAAACTAGGGAAAAATGTACAGGGTGGATAATAATTCAGGAGAGCTCATAATTCTCACTTCAACTGTATATGAATTTCTCAAACAAAACCCATCAGCACCCAATCTAGATAATTCAGCCTCACATGAAAATATCCAATGTGCTGTCAAAGTAGTTAAATTGAACGATGAAAAAGGATGATTGAAGTCAACCCCGTAGTGAGCGAGTCTGTACAGAGTTAATAATTTCAGCTCCTCTGACATATGGCACTTCTAATTGGCAGGCAAGAAGGCAGAAGCACTTGGGGCTTCATGTACTCGTTCCCAGCACAGCCACTGGTAAAAGCGGAATCAAATCAGCCGCATCGGTCGAAGGCTTTCCCCTCTGATCCTTCAGGAGCATGAGCTGAACTAACAGTAGCACAGCACCAAAGGCAAAGCAGTAATGTATTACATTTTCTCTCCTTGCCATTCCGTTCCTCACATTTTTGAATTGGAAAAACAATCGGAGCTCATTTGAAATCAATAGATTCAACGCAATACATAATGCATTGGAAAAGCTAGCAATTATGCTTTTTAGATCTCATCCAAGTAACATTAAGCAGAGCATTTGACGCTGGATGTGTTAGTAATCGGTTTGTGGTGGAACATGAAGCGTTTTCCTTCTGACACGCCGAATTGGAATCAATTACGAGCATTTTCATGAAAGCTTGTAAAGGCGTCAAGGTAATTTAATCTGTTCAGTATGATGGCGAAATAAATTGGCCAACTTTGCTTGAGATTCGTTTTATCTACCTGGTTTAAAAAAAAAAAAAAAGAGAAACATTTCCCAGACTAAAATATGAAACTTGACAGTTCCATCACTGAAACTTCCTTCCAAGTGGGGTGAATAACGAGTGAATCTATGACATTTTGAATTTGTAAGTATGTCAAACTCAATTTATTTTTTCACATAGCTTTGGTCCAAGTGGCATCCATCATCCAGCAGGATCAAAAAAAATGTAGGAGACTGTTTCAATTGCGGCACTTATTTTCTGACTGACAGAGAAGTTTCTCGCCCTTCTTCTCTCTCGGGCTCGCTCTGAGGTGATGTTAAATCTCACGGAGCTTCGATGTGGGTGAAGATAGATTCCTTCTTTCATTGCGTTTACAAGAATCTTTGAATGATTTGAATAGAAGCTCCATTTATACTCTTCAGCTCTGAAGATGAGTGTTTTCATTTCTCCTTTTCACTTTCAATCAGCTTTAGATTCTCCCTCACACTTTGTAATGGAATTGGATTGCGTATATAATCCCAGAATATGAAAGCACAAGCATAACACTTTGAAACCCTTTAATAATAAATATAGGGATGAGGTGTTTTTGTTTGGGGGTTGGTGGTTAGACAATAGTTTATGAAAATATACAATTCAAAAGTGCATTCAATGCTATACAAACAGTCATCTTCTCTTAGGGTTTATATGTAACCTAGTTTAAAAACAATACTTACAAGCCAGACCTCTCTATTTTTGTTTTAGTTCTCTTTTATTTGAATATTATACAAGCAGCCACTCAATTCAAAGCTGTGACTTTGAATTTTGAAAATTTCTTTGATTATTTAGTCTCTATAAACATGATGATTTAAAATATATATTGTTCTCCAACATGATTTCTGAATAATCCTATTATTCACATACAGTGCTCAGCGTAAATATGTACACCCATCACAAATCTATCTTTTAAATTCATATTTTTAATAGTAAGCTATATAATATTGTAATTGTGCATATATATCAAATTAATCAGTATTAAAGCCAAATCTTGAGCTTATCCAACAAAATCTTACAAAAACAGTCCAAAAACTAGTACACCTAAATTTATATGTTATAGAAAAATATTAAAATACAAATTTAAAAAAGAGGAAAAATCAAGAGAAGCCAAAAAAATTAGATTTTTTTTTTTTTGTAGAGTGTAATTTAATTTTGCAATATTTTGCTTGAATTTAATTGTATTTTCTTTCATTTTCTAAATACGTTTTTAGAATAATATTATTTTAATAAATATTTCTGTTTATAAAATCTATTTTGTTTTAATGCACTGAATTACATTGCCTATATTCACTGAGAAATGGATCAAAATGGGGTGTACTTAATTATGCTGAGCACTGTACATATAGCAGTCCAGTGTTTACAGCTATGGATTGTATAACATTATATCAAGTTGAACTTGAAAACATATTATTAATATTTTTAGTACCTAATTAGTAAATTATTTAATATATTTATTCATTCATTCATTTTCTTTTTCGGCTCTATTAATCTAGGGTCGCCATAGCTGAATGAACTGCCAACTTATCTAGCATATGTTTTATGCAGCAGATGCCCTTCCAGCTGCAGCCCATCACTGAGAAACACCCATACACTCTCATTCATTCACACATACACTACGGACAATTTAGCTCACCCTATTAACCTACTGTATTGCGCATGTATTTTGACTGTGGGGGAAACCTGAGCACCCAGAGGAAACTCTCGCAAACATGAGGAGAACATGCAAACTCCACATTGAAACGCCAACTGACCCAGCCGAGGCTTGAACCAGAAACCTTCTTGCTGTGAGGCGATCGTGCTACCCACTGTGCCACAGTGACGCCCTTATTTAATATTTAATATATCATATATATTAAGATTCTAAATAAACAGTTCTCAACCACGTGGCTGGGGCCCACTAGGGGGCCTCAGAAAACTTTGATTTTAAATAATTTAAAATAAGACAAAACAAGCATTAAAATAACTCCCCAAAATCATAAAAAAATTGACCAGCATTTTTTTTTTTAATTCATTTTAAGAACTAGGACTCTGATTAAAAAGAACACTTAAGAACTAATCCTGACAGATTGAAGCATTTGAGGTACTGGACTTGAATAAGTCGTAAAGTATTTATAAATTTTTTTTTAGATTAATCTAATTTATTTTTTTCCACTTTTATCAAGCTTTTAAAGAATTATTGAGTAGAATTTTTAAGTAAAAGCATGGCAGTTGAATATTTGTGTAATGGCGTTGACGTCCAAACTTGTAAGAACATTTGATCTAAACCTACAAATTTTAACAAATGTATACAACAATGACAGAAAATTATATGCTCTAAGAATGTTTCTCAAATATTGACTTCAGTTACTTTAGTAAATATTGGATATTTCCCCAGTGATGGGTTGCAGCTAGAAGGGGATCTGCGTAAAAACATTAGCTGGATAAGTTGGCGGTTCATTCCTCTGTGGCAACCCCAGATTAATAAAGGGACTAAGTCAAAAAGAAAACAAATGAAGGAATATTGTATATAAGGGTTTTCCTCTGACACTAGCTATTGCTTTATTGCATAGTGTGCTGTTTTTTTTTTCTTTGACTAACAATGCTTTAATAATGTTGAACTAGCGTTTAGTGCAACATTACATAAGCATCTGAGTCACGATGAAGCAAAAATATGAAAATATTTTCAACTGTTGCAAACAGTCTAAGACAATTACATTCCATTAGTTCAGATTCTGTCTTTATTTTTTTAAATCTTCTGAGTTGAATGTTGAACTGTAATTGCAAAATGACAAAACCTCAAAACAACGTTTAATCACAGCCATTTTAAACGATGATAAACCCACTTCAGAGACATGAAGAGAAAATGAAGTCACAGTAAAAAGTGAATTCAAGAGAAGTACAATCCATTTATTTGTTCGGTTTTGTTTGATCATCAGCTGTGCTTGTAGTGACCTGTCAGTCATTTTTGAGAGATATCACAAGTATATGGAATAGAAAAGGAGAGAAGCCCAACATCCATAAACACAGATGTTTCATAATATGCAAAAACAACAACAAAAAAAGTTGTTTTGCTCTAATAAATTTTACAACAGCCTCGTATATCATACTTTGCATTATATCACTATGATATTTTGAACAAATGGGAGACACTGTACAAGCACAGCCACAAAGCTTAAATAGTTTATAATCTGATAAATTAATCCTGTAGATAAATAACGGTCTCAATGTCATCATTGAAAAACCATGTACACATTCTCTTAAGTCTAGTCCTGTAAATACCTCTTTTATGGCATGTTAGAGAGCAGCAGTGCATTGATTCGTTTCATTGAAGGACAGTTAGGAACAGTTTGTATCAGAGCTCCGTTCAGGACTGTGCACCCTCCTGCAATACCCAAACACACCAGGGCAAAACTCTGCTCCATCTGTCATTCAGTGACAACCTTCTCATACTCCCTATCCAGCAGTGTCCGTTTTGTCTCTCTCAGCTAGAAAGGAACAGCATGCTTTCTGAGAAGTCACTTCTTTTTTTTTTGGGGTCACCATAAAAAGGAGACAACCTTTCATGTTACATAGCTCTCTAGTCACAATGACACAAGCCATATGTGCTAACTCATCATAAAAATATCTCTTGATATCTTCAGAGTGCCTGCAGCCATAATAAAGATAAGCCTGTTTCCTCTAATGCAGTACAGTGCTGAGGGTTTTTTTTTTCTCCTAGCATCTTTTGTACCACCAACATCTGTTGTCCTCGCAGACTCATGAAGAGCATTACACAACGAAGTAGGAAAAAATATCAATGTCTTTGTTGTGTACAGATTGTCAATGCAAAGATAGAGGCAGTGGTATTGTTGAAAACGAAACGTCTCTTCCTTGTCAACCACCTGTAAAAATTGCACTGGACGCTGCAAATTGGTGCCTCTAGAAAGACCTTTTCCAGGACTTGCACAGGATCTTTTGAAAAGCTCGCCGGAAGTCCTGGTTGAAGATGGTGTAGATGACGGGGTTGAGGGAGCTGTTGCAGTAACCGATCCAGAAGAAAAACTTGAAAAGGGGGTCAGGGATGGCGCAAGGCTCCCGGCAGATCCCATACAGGCTGTAGCTGAAGAAGAAGGGAAACCAGCAGACCACAAAAACGCCCATGACCACGGCCAGCACAAAGGTGAACCGCTTCTCGCGTGCCTGGGATATTTTTTTCCTGGAAATGGTGTTTCTCCTCTTTCTGCGAGATGAAAACAAGTCCAGGGATTTGCTGCTGGCTCGGGACTTTCGGCTGGAGTGTTTGGAGCTGGAGCTGTTCTTGCGGCTGGATCTGCGGTCTTTTTTCGATGGGGCCGTCTCATTTTGTGACCGCTTGGCCTTCTCGTCGGACGAGCTGCTGTCCTCGAGGTCAGCGTCTGGGTTATCCTCGGCTGGTTTGCGTTCGCCTGGCGATGAGGAACAGTGGCCATTTTCCCGTCTAGAATCCTCACGGCTTAAGCCGTTCTCCAAGCGTGGCGTTCCTGAGCCACCATCAGGATCCCGCCGCTTTTCAGACATATTTCGGGTTCTTGTTTTAGCCACCTGATAGATTCGGATGTAAACGAGGATCATAATGACACACGGGGCAAAGAATGACCCAATGCTGGAGTACAAGATGTACCATGTGTGGTCATTCAGCTGGCACATTGGTCTCCTCTCATCAACTGTATTCCGATCCATGGAGATGAGCGGTGGGAAGGAGATCACAGCCGAAATCAACCACACCACCACAATCATCCCCTTAACCCTGCGAGGCGTCCTTTTTAAGTTATACTCGACCGCCTGTGTCACAGACCAGTACCTGTCCAGACTTATGGCACACAGGTGAACAATAGAAGACGTGCAGAAAAGAACATCTAGAGCGAGATAGATATTACACCAAACTTCCCCAAAAAACCAGTAGCCCATTAATTCATTGGCCAGGGAGAAGGGGATTATAAGTGTGGCCACCAGAATGTCCGCGCTGGCCAGAGACACGAGAAAAAGGTTTTGTGGTGGCTTGAGTGCTCTGCTCGTTAAAACGGCGATAACGACCAGCACATTCCCCACTATTGTAAACAAGATGAGGAAGCTCACCAGCCCCGCGAGCCCTATAATGGTGGCCGGAGAATAGCTCGTAGAATTTGTAGAATTCCCAGAGGGTGTAAAATCAGTGTCTGTGTAAGTGTCCTCTTCGCTCGCATAGCTTAAGTTATGCATATTGATTTAGAAATATTCTGCTTTTCCAGTCAATCTCCGCGAGAAATTTTACTACAAGTTAATTGCAGGTTCCACTCTGTTTTCTTCTTACCTTGTGTTCTTATTTAATTCCCGTCCGCGTCTTTTTCTTCTCCGCACAATTCCTCTCACGGCTCATTTGGTTGCGGCTTTGAAAAAGAAAGCCATCCCGTGGTGAGTTTAAAGCATCTCCGTCTCTTACATCCGTGCGACCTGTTCGTTCTCTGGCGGGCGTCTCTCTCAGCATCCTCGCGCTCTCTCTCCACCCGAGCTGAAGACCGCGCGCCCTGCCCGCGCCCGCCCGGGACTCAACTATCCACGTGCTGACAACATTAAACTGATGGAGCGCCGCCCCGCCCCTGGAGACAAGAACTACCACCGACTGACTGCTTAGCGTCTTTTTATGTCTTAACACTGTACATTTTATATCAGCTCATTATAGGAAAGCAATGTAAGCAATTTCTGAGTTTCTATTTTTTAGTAGCCTATATAAACATAAGTAATATCTGGACGTACATGCTTTTGTATTTGTAAGGAATTGAAAGTGCAAAAAAAATATTATTGTATTTTATGTTATAGCACTAGGCTTTGACAGGACTTGAACTGATCATGGGTGGAAAAAGCTGTGAACTGTGAAGAAGTGATTGCTTTCAGGCATCTGTGCTCGCTGGGTGTCACTGTTGTAACAATTCCATTGTGCTTTTAAAAAAATGGGAACACCCAAGTCAATTTAAGCATAACATTTCCTTATTAACTATCAGAGCTTATTTTTTAAATTTGCATTGGTAGGCTATTATTTTCTCGGTGTTCAGCATGTATAAGTACACCCCTCACAAATCTATCTTTTTTAAATTCATATTTTTAATAGGAAGCTATACAATATTATATATACGTTGTAGATTAGTCAGTATACTAAAGCCAAATCTGGAGCTTATCTAACAAAAAGCTTATGATAATGGTCTTAAAAATGAGTACACCCAAATATATATGTTATAAAAATATTAAATACAATTTAAAAAAAAAGGAAAAACCAAGAGAAGCAAACAAACAAACAAACAAAAAAAAAAAACTTTTGTTTCAATTTTTAGCTTGAATTTAATTGTATAATTTTTTCAATTTCTAAACATGTTTGGTAACTAAAATATTCTTTTAATAAATATATCTGTTTAATAAATCGGTTTTGTTTAAATGCATCAAAATATTTTTCCTATATTCACTGAGAAATGGATAAAAATATTAATTTTCAATCAACTCAATTATGCTAAGCACTGTAAATATTGAATTTGTTTGTACTATCAAAACATATAATAAAAATGCACTATAGAGATGCTATAGTTTTATAATTTATACACTGCAAAAAAAAAAAAAGCTTTTCTCACTTTCTTTCTAGTCCAAATATCTAAAAAATTTTATATCAAGAAGCATTTTCAAGACGCAAAACATATTGTCTTGTTTTCATAAATAATATGGCAATATTAAGTGAGTTTTCAATATAACAAGCAAAATAATCTGCCAATGGGGTAGACAAACTAATCTTGTTTTTTTCTTTTGACACAAGATTATTTTGCTTACCTTGTTGTCAAATTATTTTGCTTGTTTTAAGGAAAAAGTTATTATTTCTTAAAACAAGACAATATGGATTTAAGGATTTTTAGATATTTGGGCTAGAAGCGAGACAAAAAATCTAAGTGAAAAAATAATTTTTTACATTTTAGACATTTTATTTAAATTGTCTTTCATAATAAAATCTATAAATTCATATTTAAGAGCTTCACATTCTCCCTAGATTTTTCTAATTTGTGATTCATCTGTGTCTTCCATTAGTTTATGTTTCGAATTGCATTATGGGACCTTGATCTCTTCTCTGACAACTTTTTGATGCTGTAGATCAGAGATGACCAAACTATGGTAATTTTTGATTTGGTCCTTCATGCCATCTGCCAAGAAGAGGGAGAATTATGGGGAGTGTTATTGTTAATGCAGTTAATACGAATTTTCATTTTTTCATTTATTGTTTTGTTTTATTGTTAGGCTACAACAAAAGCAAATGTGTCAATTAAATGTTGTAAACTGTCACCACTGGCTTGCTTGGTTTGGACTTGTGGAGCTGTGAATTGATGGATTTGCTCTTCAGTGTTTGGACTTTCAGCAGTGAAAATTAAACCATACTGAAATGAACTAAACTGAACTTTAACTCTGAAAACTGGACTGACAATTTACTAGATCTTTTATTTTAAGCTGCCTTGGCTGAATCTACATTGTAAAAGGGCTATAGAAATAAACATGAATAAATTAATTCTTTTTTTATTAAATGAACACATCGTTGCTGAACAGATAGACCACAATTCAGAAATCCTCCCCAGTGAGCAAATCAAGGCAAAGGCAGGTGCAACTAGTGTATTTGGCATTAAACTGTATTTTCTTTATGACAGGTTGATTATAAAATGTAAAAAATGAATAACGCATTAGTTAATATGATTAAAGTAATGTTTTCTATTTATTTTGAAATGAATGAGGAAAGTGTCATGTTAAAATACAGTTGGTTATGTTTACCTTCGGCCCATGGCCATCAGTCAAGTTTGTTTTTTAGCCCTTTATAAGAAAAAAGTTTGGGCACCCGTGTTTTAGTTGCCGATTAACAAATTTACCGGTAACACTTTATTTTGATGGTCCATTTGAGTATTATAGGCTGTCTGCTTAATATCTGTTGATACTGCTCCTTCAACAGACATTTCGACACCTTGGAATTATAAGGTTCTATCTGCGTTCTGAATAATTTTGAGATATTGAGCTTCAAAGTTTTTGCATTCCATAGCAAACAGTATGTGTGTAACAATTGTTTTTTAAATAAAAAGTGTTAAAATGTAAAAAACTTATAAAAAAAATTCCATAATGTAAATAATTTGTCATTTAATATGAATATGTGGATCACTCAAGTTTGACAAAAATGTCAGATAGAACCTTATAATTCTAAGGTGACGATTTAACTGACTGTAAGAAACTTTGCAAGTACATGTCAACTTACACTAACCCCAACCTAACAGTCTACTTATAATCTGTTGAGAATTAGTTGGCATGTACATGCAATGTAACTTAAATTTAACAAATGGACCATCAAAATAAAGTGTGACCAATTTACCTTTTTTAACGTGTAGAAATTTGAAATGATGATTTATTTGGGTTTGTCATTAAAAAATACATTTCTATTTCTGTGTAAACATTTTAATATACAATACGTTGCTTCAGACTACTAAAATGTCAATAAACGATTTCACAACAACATCAGCATTTAAAATCAACATAGAGATCAAGTGTAAACAAAGTTTAAGTACATGTGTAACACAAAGTAAAAACTGTTAGATAACAATGTTTTAACAAATGGGGTATATGCACACAGAAAAATATTATAAAAATAATAAATAAAATAATAAATTCAGCCTGCCAGCTTTAGGGCTTCCGGTTCATTGTCATACCATAAAATCACCACGCCTAAGGTCTGATTTAAAAAAAAAAAAATCTTCACTGCCTGGCTGAGATATGATACAAAGTGGATATCAGAACAAACAAGCGGCAGTGCTTTAAATTATATTTTTCATTTTTCCATGTTTTTTTTTCCATGTTTTTTTTTTTTCATTTTACCCCAGTGTTTTCAATAAAATGTTTGCGCTAGTCTGCTGTTAATGATGGCGCCTGCATTTAAACCATCTTTCCTTTCTTTTAATGCTTTAACAACCAAATGGATGCTTAAGTCTATGCAACTGAATTTGAATTGCATTACAACATTGATGCTGTAAAAAAAAAACCTTATGAAATTGAAAATAGTCACATAAAGCTTTCAATAGAAGTCATCATTGGCTGAAAAACACTAGCTGTGCATATAGTCCATTGATCTAATTTGGTAAACAGGCTTGTTCATTTTAAAATGCTTAGTTTCAGTCTTTAATGCTGACTGATTGTTAGCTGTGTTTTATTTGCAATAAAGCACGGTTATGACCTCCTCACCCAGCGGTTCATCTCTATAATCGCTTTAACCCACGGTCTGAAAAAACAACCTACGGCAACTGTAAATGTAGCACCAATTTTGTGGGAAAACCGCGAAATTAGCAACACAGCAGGTCACACCTCGAAACACTCTCTTGCTGTTTACTGTCACCAAGGAACTGTTTTCTAGTGGAAGGAGAGCATTTAACAAGTGTACTTAAAATGACAAAGTTGAAGTCAGACCTATTAGCCACCCTGAATTATTAGTCTATTATTAAAATTATTGATAAACTTGATAATGGGACTAAGTCGAAGGAAAATGAATGAATGTTTGAGTCATGTTTGCTTCATTTCTCAAAATAGCCTTCAGCAGAGCCTTTCCTACTGCTTACCTGTACAATATACAGTACATTCTCTGTGTGTGCGACTGTGCGCATGTTTGTGTGAGAGAGAGAGCACTTGCAATTTGTCAACATACTGCAGAGCATGATAGACTGCAATGGAGAGGAACTAATCAATGATTTTGTGAGAGACCCGTCAGAGAGGTCAAAGAGGTGGCCATGGGTCCTGTTAAAGAGGTGGGCATCAGACAGAAGGCAGGACACTTATCCATGATGTCCAATGAAGTCCAGACCTTCTTGCTAGGGTGACATGATTAATGGCAGAGGCTGCTAACTTACAGTAATTCACCCTGATCTCAAAAGATCAATTCATTCAGACTGGTAGAGCATTTAGTCAAGAAAACCAGTACATTTGAAGGTTACAGTATATAGCTTTACTGTATAGACCATTTCAACGTTGTTATGTCATTGGCCCATGAACATTTCCTGCTTGTTATCAAACAATTTCACAACTGTAACAAGAGGTGATTCAATCATAACTTAATGTTAAAACAGCAGTATTTATCAATATGTGGCATTTTTTAAATTCTTGGAAGCTATAGAAGTTAAAAATGTAAAACAGGAAATACATTGGGATCATTGTTTTTGTTTACATTCCTC